CGCCTTTTTTAAGACCTGTAAAGCTTCCACAGATGGGGTATTTGGAGATGGAAGTTTAGGAAATATGGAATCATAGAGACTTGTATGGATTTACTGATGTAGATAGAGATCAGTAGGTTGCTGAGTTGATACTATAAAAATCAAAAACCAGGGACATCTTCAGCAGCTGGTTTTACACGGGGTTAGAATTTGACACAGACAAACATCTAAAGAGGTTTTGACAGAAGTGAGAGACAGGGATCTGCCTGTTTCCCAGCTTCCCTGAACGGCCTGTTTGAAATCACACCAACAAAGCAACATGAGGAACGAAAGCAAGCAAGAGTCCTGAGTGGAGCATTGTGTGTGTGTGAAGCAGTCGGTCACACTGTGTTATCATTTATTCAAAGGTGGCAGGGGATGTGAGCCCAATCGACTGTGAGAAACAAGGGGTGTAAATATAATATTGAAGACTCAACTCCTTCTCTCCGATCGTCTGCCACCACAGCTGTGGATGTTGGACACTTGGCTGGAGAAACAAGAATCGTATTCACTGAAACACTCCTCCTCCGCTGGGAAAAGCTGCACCGCACTCCGTGATGGTGATGTGAAAATGAGAAATGAGTAAGAAATACTGGAGGTGACTCCCTTCTGGGGTTGTTCTACAGTTCTACATAAACTGTCCTGGGGCCAGAAATACAAATGTGTATTAATCCGCAGCTGAAAATAGTCCCAAACAAACGCACTCCTGTTTGAGTGAGGTTGGCTAAAAACTACAATGGCCAGCAGTCTAAGGCTCTAAAAGTGACACTACACATTTGGGACTTGTTTTTGTTTTTTTAGGTCTTTATTAGGAACTAATGAGCTTGAGTGCCACAGACAGGGTAGGGAAGAAAGTCCAGCCTCATCCTTTAACAAGAAATAATATTTTAAATTTCAGAGGATAAGGCAGCAACAAGGAACTTTTTGTTGATTCTGGCGGCCCCTGTGGACAAAAGTGGTAGTGATTCCACCACCTCATTTCATTGATTTCAAGGGGAATCTAACTGAATCTAAGCAGGTGGCAGGCATTAAGAATAACTATATAGAAATAGTCTTCTTGCTGTGTAGGTCATATAGAGACATCAGTAATAAATTGTCTGTTGCATGACCAGTTAAAAACTCCTTGTACAACATTTAAATGTCTCAGAGGCTCTGTTCTGACAAAAGGAGGAAATACTGTGGTTTGTACAAAAATGGTCAGATTCTAAGACCATGAACGTGTCTCCTTTCCAAAAACACTGGTTTTGGCATTCAAAAATCAACATGTGCCCCTCCCTTGTGTGTAGGGAATATAACTTCTACAGTAATTGGTCGAAGAAAAGTGCACTCATGTCCCTCATGTCTCTGGTAAAGTGGAAGTTTAACTTACGCCCCTGAAATCATTTTTAAAAGACTGCTCATCAAGTCCTGATTTGCTGCAGTGTTACGACATACATACTGTAACATCATCGTCAGAGCTGTTTCCCAACGCGGCTGCATGTAGTAATTATGCAGGAATGTGACTGTAGAAACACTTCAGACGCCTGTCTCATCCATAACCGTAACTTTGGTTGTACAAGACGCGAAGGCCAGTGAGATAATAGTCAATCAACACCACTGCAGGGTGATCCATTAGCATCTGGTTGGCGGTCGGAGGAGAACTTAATATGGGAAAAGCAGTTATTATGAAAACCGCAATGAGTGCAATATAGTGGAAGTGTTGATGGCAGTTTATTTCAAGCCTGAGAACACAGTCATCCAGCCATGAGGAGCTGTGTCATTAACATAAACAAAGGAAAATACTCACTAAACTGATGTGGTCAAATTTGAAGCTAAACAGTAATCACAAAAATATCAGCTAGTCAATCAGTGATGTTCGGCTCTAATTAAAACTCCCTTAGCTTCTTCTCTCCATCCTCTGCTCTCTTCACTATCCCGTTTGTCTCTCTTTCCACAGAGGTCCACAGACCTGCATGTGAGGCATCCAGCAGGGTCACATGGAGGAAATTGCTCCTAATGTTGTTTGGATGACTCTCTCCGTCATCCTCCTGCTGACCAGACCTGGGTCAGGGAAGGGCCTGCGAAGCTAACTCTTGAGCGTTTGTTTCATCCACCCTTCATAAGATGGGCGAACTAGGAAAGTGTCAGATTTGTCTGAAATCAAAGAGAGGTCTAAAATGATGATTACACTTTCAGACGTCTGAGCTTCCCCCGGCTCTTGTTAAATTACTCTTCGTTTAACCCAGTGTATCTTGAACTGTACATCATGTCAAAGAGTCTTCTTCAATTTCCTTTCATCGTGCCGCGGCTGCAAAAAGAAAAGCAACAAACCATCAGTAGAAAAGTGAACGGAACAGCCTTTACATGTCCATTTGCCTAACGGCAGTACAGCTCTGCCAAACACTGTGGATGGGAACTTTTGAGTTGACAATATTTAAAGTCTGCAGCATTTACAGGACAATTCAGACAGCATCGGTTTGGTCACAGAAAGTTGTTTTCGCTGTTGAATCTCAAATTTGCAACAGAAACAGCATTGGAAGGCTTCCCAGATAGGTCTGTAATAACACAAAGTGAAAAGAGAGAACGTCCAAGAAGTTCATCCTCAGAGTAATTTGTCCCTCTCATTGTTTGCTTCATCTGATGGATTTTTAGCTTGGCTAGTTAAAATGTCCAGTATTTCACAAGAAAAACCGCAAAAGATGTGACAAAAGATTAAAATAAACATAATGTTGCAGCAGAACGACATGCATTCTTTTTCTTCTTGAATCCCTTACAGTATTTGAGATTGATCAGTAAAAAACTACAAAAAAAAAAAGAGGCTGTTGAATGCAGAAAAAATAAAACTTTGCATCAGGATTCTGCTGGAGGAAAAGCACCATACTTAATATAGATTGCAATCTAGAGTAACTGCCAGTACAGACATTTTATTCTGTATTTATGCACTTAGTGTATTGAACTGTCTCATGTTACTGCGTTCAATGGCTCCCCTCTACTTTGCTTTGTGTTATAAATGACCCATTTGAAAAGCATTCCTCCACAGCTTTTTATTGATAAGTTTTGTGTTTTTTTAACATAAAAAATCCATCTTTTGTATGAGACCTTTTGTTCTCATCAAATATCTAATCTGTCTCTAGAAATCCTGACGTCATTGGTTTACGCGTAAATCCACATCCCGTTTAAAGCAGGAATACAAAACCAATAAAGAATCTCAGAATTTTTACTTTGTGACTTTACAGAAGTCATAAAACCGGAGAACAGGGGTAGTTTGTCCTTATTTTTGCATCTACATGTATAAAACAAGTCTACAAGCTGTTCATGACCACAACAGCCTCTTAGCGCCCTCTTCTGACCAAAGACATGTATGTGCACCATAAAACTCCCTTCATTCGGAGTAAGTGTACACTCACAAAACTAATGGAAAGCTGATGAAAATACATTAATGCTTTGTGTGTTTTCCTCCATGCCCATTATAAAAAACACTATCCTCTTTTTGAACTATTGGCTTTTTAAACATTTTAACAATGTTAGAAAAACACAATGGAAGTGAAAGGAATTTCACTTGTGGTGCTCACAGCATCAAGAAATGACGATAAATGATAAATATTTGAGAACAATGAGCCTGTCCCGGAAAAAATGGTCTCAATTATTCTGAATAACCCACAGACCTCTCTGTGAACAAAGTCCCATAAACAGTTCACAGTGTGTTCTGTGGATTATTAGGGGACATTCTTAAGATATTGCCTTTTTAAATGTATTTTTTTCCAATGCAGTTAACATCACAATAGAAACGTCCTCAATCTCCATTCTGAGACAGATATCTCAACACCTGGGGAAATAAAACCAGCTTTTTATACATGCAACTGATAAATAAAATGTGTTTTCAGAATTGGGTGAGCAGAAGCACAACAACACCTGAAACAAAACAGAAGCAGGAACACGAGGGATGCTTTGCATCATTATGTACAGCTGTTTTATTTGTGATTTCCCCAAAACATTATCAGTATTTTACTACATACAATGCATGTAATCAAAGTACAATAGATCAACTTCAAAGACAAGAGCAAAATGAAAAGAGCAAAAAAACAAAAAACAAACAAACAACAGGCGGTGATTTTGACCACAAAGAGAGACATTGGTTAAGGTACTGTATGTATAACACTATTTCTTTTATACATGGCCATGGCAACTGTATCTGTGGAAAAGATAAGTTTCTGCTAGAAGCACTGAGGTCTGGTGAGTTTTACTGCATGGTGGTGCGCATGTGTGAAGGTAAAGGTACTTATCTTGGGACTCTGCTGAGATCAACTACAATTTTTAACTAGTTTTTTTCTCCTAATGATTCATGCTATATGGGAGGCCACAGTCTGCTGGACATTCTTACAAAAAAGAAAGCTTAAATTAGGTCTTCTTTTTTCTTGATTATTCCCTCGGGATATAATAAAGTATCTATGCTATCTATGCTATCTATCTATCTATCTATGCTATTCTATGCTATCTATCTATCTCATCTAGTCTATTCTAGGCTCTTTTCTCCTATCTATGTAATCTATAATATCTATGCTATTCTATTTTTCTGAAAATCAACAAGTTTCATGAAGTTCCACAAGTGCATTAGCACAACTAATCTAAATCTTTTTTACGCTTTAGAAGTCGTTGATAAATCAACTGAGGGGAATAACTACAAGTACTGAATGAAACAAAAGAACAACCAGCAGAAAAACACTGACGTAGCACATCCTACACAGGACACGCACCTCCCACGAGCAAGCTACTGTTGACTCACAAAACCAATACAACAACTGCAGAAACTAACGAATGCGTGGCTATAAAGAGGGAAAAACAGCTACTGAAGCTAAATGAAACTGTCTTATCAGCAATACGAAGACAGGTCGTCCTGTATTCTGGTTTAAAACCCCTGATATTGTCCCAAAATAAGGCTGTGGGTTCTAGGCACACCAAGGTACAACTGAGCTGAGCAATATGTGCATTTATGTTTTTTTTTCTTTTAAAAGACATGAAACTTTCTATATGTACTGGATTAATTCATATTCAATTTATTTCTAAGCACCTCGCTAGCCCAGGCGTTCACTATCGAGATTAGTCTTTTTTTTTTAAAAAGAAGAAAAACAAAGATGATGACAACAAATCATTTTCAGACGTCACACGTTTTGCTGAGCATTTAGAGACAAATACACAAGTGCATCATTGGCAAAAACTGCTGGTGAGGGAGAAACAAGTGCACACTAGTGTGCGTGTGTGTGTGTGTGTGTCTGTGTGTCTGCTGTGTGTGCTGTGTTCGTTGTCTTTTTTTTTTTGTCGGTATGAGTGTATGTTTGCCTGTGAGTGCGGTTGTTTAAGCGCATGTGTGTGAGGAAGCGCATATTTAAAGAGGTAGCAGAGAAATGCAATCAGAGCAACAGATGACAATCCGTCTCGATTGACAACCATCCGTCTGTTACGACAGTAGAAAAGACGACTCTCTCTCCTTGGCAATGATATTTCATTGCGAGCCACAGACCTTAACCGAGACCCCTCCGAATGGAGATCTATTCAAGAATCTGTTGAAAAACAGCTAAAGTTCAATGTCCAGTCCGTTGATTTTCATTTAATTTTTCAGGATGCAGTTAATTTAAGTGTAAACATTTAATCAACAAAGAAGCTTCCTAATACGTTTCAAATGGCTTTATTTTTTGCTATCAGTCAGTAGACTAATTGGGTGTCACCCTTTCCAAGTGAAACTTAAAATCTATTACAATTTCATCCTTTTCCCAAAAGGCTATGAAACAGATATCGTGCTGATGCAATAAAACGATTGCAGTCAATCTCAGAATTTCCATATCTGCCCAAAGCTTTCCATCAACAGCAGCTGGTAGTAAGAAAGAAAACCTAGGAGAGCGTTAACTTCCACATGCTGTGAGCCGAGACGTGATTCATTAGTCGATATAATACAAGAGTGATTACTAAAGGCTTGGTGTGTCATTCACAGCATATCTTTTTGAAGGCCTTATTTTTCTAAAAAGCGGATGTGAAAGCAGCAGATAACCAGAGATAGCAGTAAAACAGCGTTAAAACATTTAGAAGAAAGGCAGAGTGTTGAGGTCGGGCTGGAGCGGGTGTGTGAGGCCTGGCTGGCTGCAGAGTAGAAAAAAAAACCCCAACAAACACACACACTGTTTGTATCTAGAGTATCTAAAAAGGGATCCCAATGTAACAAACCCTTATCAGACGTTTGAGGAAAGCTACAGCTAGAGACAAACACAGAGGAAACCTGCAATACCAAAGCGAAGCAGACGGAGGGACACCAATGTGTTGGGTGTTAGGTTCAGGCCACTACTTTTTACATTTTAGGACAGAGCGGTTATCTAACTGCCGCTCTCCCGTTTATCTGAGGCGGTATGAATCAATTCCCGAGACCTCCATCCCTTGTCTTTGATTAGCTGTGTGGAGCTGAAAGCCTTTCGCACAAGCCTGATCGAGAACAACTGGCAGCTCTGTGGAGTCCCATCGGACAAACACAACAAGTCTTCTGGCCAAAATCAGGTCAACACCTGGTAGGTTAGTAGCATCAGAGTATTTCCAAGGCTTTGCTTAATTCGAGCAGGAGCCAAGTCTCTTGGTGCACTGATGAGCACATCCACTCATCGCCTCCGTGGTTTTATGCTACATTCACACAGCAGGCTGTCAGGCTCAAACTGCTCATCATATCTGAGATTTGTATTCTAAGATTCTCTAAATTAGCCTGCTTAATGAGGGCAGTTTTTTTTTATGGCTTTGCTAATTGAAAGAAAAGTTCAGATTTTGGAAAATATGCTTTTTTGCTGAGAATTACCTAAGAAAAAAAGATACCACTGTCATATTTGTATGCCGATTATGAAGCTACAGCCAGGAGGCGGTTAGCTTAGCTTAGCATAAAGACTGGAATCAGGGGAAAACAGCTAGCCTGGCTCTTTCTTTCTGTTGTTTCCAACTGTCCTGAATGGTAAATCTAACTTAGCCATGCTAAAACTCCACAGATCCAAGTTGTCCCGAGGGAAATTTAACATATTAGATGTTCAATGTTCATCTGTGTCACATATGAAAGAGTAAAAAAGAATATGGGCACTTTCAGCTGCTATATGAATGTAGCCTTACCTAAATGCGTGTTTGTTACAATAATTGTAACATGCATTTACACACTAAAGAGGCCTCCGATTTACGGACTTTAAGATTTGTAGGCTTATATTGAGATTTGAGGTAAAAATCATCCAGCATTTGAAAAGAGAAACGAGCTAAAGAGGAATATACTGTACATATACACAAAAAAAACCTTCTACATTATTGTTAAAATAAGAATGGATGCTTTATCATAAACACAATCATGCTGCAACAACAACAACAAAAAAAAAAAAATATATATATATTTTTATATATATGTGCGGAAGGGAGAGGTAGTATGTTTGGTTAAACGCAGCGCCAAAGCTTAGCGGCACGTCATCTTTTTGTAGAGACAACAAAGACAGAAAATACAGAATGAGGCAGAGATGAGGATCAAGTGAGTAAAGCAGGAAAAACAGAGTTGACAGTTAACATTTAGAAACATTGGGATCCGCTCATATTGACTGGTCTACTGGCAAAAAGGATTCTACTGGACAACCTTCTTCTTTATACAACTGGCAACTAGTTTACTGTACGTCTAAAAATGTAAAAACACTGCAAAGGTTGCTGAGGAGAGAGTTGTGGCGTTGTCTGTGTGAGTGTGTGTCTGTGTGAGTTTATGTTTGGTTCCCTTAAAGGCTATTGTGAAAGGTCATCCTGTAAATCATTGAGGTATCTGTTAAATGTTTTCCAGCTGAGTGAGGTTTCTGTACGTAAGGCTACTGAGGTGGAGCTGCTGACCTGGGTTGAGGGGACGAGCGGGTGAGAGGGGAGAGGCTGCTGCCTTGTTTGGGTTTGAGCGCCGACGACCTCTCGCATCATGCTCATGCCAACGAACGGCGTGCAGATCCTGATCAAGGTCTGTCTTGCATGCATTATGTTCTCCGTGTACGACCAACGTTTCGCTCTCGGAACCCTTAAAGCTGAGCAGACCCTCACCCCCATCCCCCCTGTCCATTAAGAAACGAATGATGTAGATGTTGGTGTTGAATGTAAAAAGTCCACTTTTTGTATGTTTTGTATGTCATTTCACTATTCTTAAACAAATGATCTTTTAAAAATCTGAATATCAAGAGCTGTGATGCGACACACACAGAGTAGTGAGAAAGGTAATGTCACACTTTGGGTTTAGGAGGCGACATCTCGTCAGTCACTGCACACTCTGCCTGTACAGCACATCACTACATATCTCATTTTAAAAAATACTTTATCTCCTAAGATCTTCTATACAGATTCTACACAGTCTTCTGGAGGTCCAATCCGAACGTTGTCTGCGTCAAACAGGACAAAGGAGCCATTTCTGCAGTGTCTATTTCACAGTAAAGTGACACGTCCCAATTCCACATTAGCTGTTCCACTAAATCTCCCGACTCCCATCAGCCCTTGGTGCACCAGTTTTTTTGTTGTTTTTTTTCCCGAAAGCAGAGCCTTGACTGGCTGCTGAGTTAAAGCTATGAAGAATAATCCTGCTGTAACTGGCTATTGCAGAAGAAGAGGCGGTTAGATGGTTGGAGTGATGAATGAAGAGGCACGTCCATGCTGTCGCTGCGACTCCTTGCCATTGGCTAAATCCTGTGTCAGTCAGTTGAGGCAGTGTTAGTTCATGATCACTTGATTGTGTTTGACATCGTGCGACTGGAAAAGTAAATGTAGCTATTTTTTCTCCTTTTCATTTTTTTTTTTTTTAAATATAGAGCTGCAGACTGCCTTTCCATTGACAAAGAAAAGATTTAGCTCCACGAGTTCCTTTCCCTCAGGTCACAGCTCCAGGTGTAAAACGGCTGCAATGACAAGTCTTTCTTCATTCCATTAGAAAAAGTAAGGAGAACGGGGCCAGTGACCCCCCCTCCTTGTCCAAACAAGAGAGTGAAGCCACATCACTGGTTGAAAGGGGCTGTTCTGTATTCACTCCCTCGAAATGAAGTGAACAAGGGAAGGTGAGCTGGTTCATTTGCACTTGGTAAAGGCTCCAGGAGTCCACTCACGCTCATCTCTGCTTCAGTAAAACAACGTCCCAGCGCAGCAAGCAAAGCGCTAGCTAGACAGCAAACTCTGACACGCATTAAAATTGACAATCTTGAAAAGAACAAAAAAAAAAAGAAAAGAAAATTTTCACCAAAATGAAAACATTATGGATATACTGTATAATTGTCAAAAGCTTATCGATAGACTTTAGAAAGAGAGAGATTGAGAAAAGATGTACATCCATAAGCTTGGAATGGACAGAGAGGACACTTGCTGCTGATACCGAGTTGCTGGGTGCCTTTAGAAGGCTGTCGGAGAGTCAACCATGCTCACACTCACGCTTTAAGTGTAGATGGTGCACGAGACTCGGCCGGTTGGAATGCTCAACACGACCACCACTGGGAATGTTCAGTCACATGACGCCTTTGCAATTATAAAAAACACACCAGATTTCCGAGTCCCATCATTACACTAATAAGAGCGTCATCCACAGCAGGGCTGGACCATTGCTGGCCCTTTTGTTGGGGACTTTATTGGCCAATTTGGTAGGATAATATGAACGTTCTTTCAGAATGTTCTTCCAGGTGTGTTGGTCTGTCCTATTTTGTTGTTATGAAATTGATAACTTTTGATTTTGCTGAATTATTGGCCATGCTGGTTAAACCCAAATCCAGCAGCCTTCTTCACTGCACCTGAAACAACTCTGTAACTCTGTAACTGCCACCTCTGTCCATTCTAGTTGAATACAACACAAGAATCCATCTCCTAATTGCATATAGTGCTGTATCTCCAGAGCATCTTGCCATCAACAATTGAATTCTCTTAGTATTTTGCCTACATTAATGTCTAACTATGTACAGACTTAGCAAGTGGTATTTACAAAGTTTGTCCACAAGGGGGTGATGCAGGCCTGCATGAGGGGTGAGCATGCACTGTGTCGACAAAAACGTGATATGATATGTAGTGATGTCCTAAAGTAAAATCCTAAACCTCGCTTATGTGGCTGGTGTTGAAATGATATAAATGTGACAAAAAGGTATGAGGCTTGATTTTATATTTAATATAAAAAAAGGTTCTTTCTCGTGTTTTATAGGTCTGCTCTGCTGTCAAGAGCATCTTAGGGATATTATTCCAAAAAATCGTACTTGTCTATCTACTGTACATTGCTACCCTCTGTAGAATATTCACTTTGCCCTGAAAAAGCCAAACTAAAGTTAAACCTGATATTAATCGCTTGATGTTAACACAGATGACTCTGTATTTTAAAATGTAGCCATTCAATTGGTATGTCAACTTTAACAATGATCTCCAATGGATTGTACAATCATGCAACCATACCATGAGGAGTATTTAATTGAACAGATAAGCTTAGGAATGAAAAAAATCTTGTAGTATTTGAAAAAGTTTCACTTTTAGCTTACTTACGCTGTTATTTAATATGATTAGAAATCACAGTGATGCCTAGAGCTTCAAAAACAATCTCTGTCTTATGATTGTAAGCTTACGCCACACACACCATAAACACCAAGTACACAATATCATCAGACAAACTTTTCCCTGAGGCAACAGCCGGTAGTTGGTTTCTGTCCAACTATCTAGCTCTAACTGTCTTAGCAGCAATCTAACCAGCCGAAAAAATTGTTTTTGGATAACTATCCATGAAACATGACGTTGTGTTTGCGTATGTCAGTCTACAAACTTCACAGGTCCAAAAACGACGAAATCCAACGGAGAAGTGAAGTGCTTCCCAGCACTGAACCCCCAAGTCAGAGCCTGTACACGCACCCCCTTGTGGTCCATCAGTATTCTCATATTCTGTACACACATCAAAAAAATAGAAGGACTCCTCACACACTTCTCAGTGCTTTCTTATGTTTGTGTGTGTGTGTGTGTACATTTGTCATTTTTGAAAGATGACACATACACACACACAACTGAGGAGGCGCCTTCCAATCCTCTACATTAAACAACACTCAGAACCATTTGCTTCCATGGAAGCAACCATGTTTCACTCCCTTAAATATATATATTTATATATATCAGCTTATACGTATCATTTATATTTATATAGCATTATACATACATTCTTGTTTTGTGAAATTCCCTTTTGTCTTGTGAACAGGGAATTCCAACTGTAGCATCTCCCTCCATCTATCCAACCTCCTTTACTCATTCCTCCACATCTCGCATTTCTTCCCACCGTTCCCATACTGAAACATTCCTATTTGAACTTCCTGTCTTCACTTCAGCTGAGACCTCTCTTTGCACATACACAGATACACAGGGCTGAGCAGGAAAACGCACCTGCTAGACTCCATCTTAACCAAGTATTAAACTAGTAAACTAAGTATATCCAGTACATTACATTAAGCTTGCCCATGGCTGACCATGCTGATGTTTAATATATTTGCTGTCAACAAACTGTAACTCAACAATAGTTCATAGCTATCTAACACTAGTGTAGTAACATTGCTAGCAATTTATCTGTACCTCACAAGTGCTGGCATGGTTAATAGGATGTAAATCTGTGTATCTATTCCTGTCCCGTCATCGCGCTGATGTGAACATGGAACAATGTTATGAGGATGATGCTAAAAAGGGATGCGACAGTCAGTGATGTCTGGGGGAAAGGTGGTGATGAGAAAAGGCGATTTTTTTGGAGTTTGTGGACGTGAAGAGAATTGGGATGTCTGTCTTTTACATATGTCTACGAGTCAGGACTCTACCTGATGTAATGACATTTAATGCTGTACTGGGTTTGAGAATCCAGAAGTCAAAATATAATCTGGTTATCCAGGTGCCGCAGCATGTTCAGGTGTCTTAAAATCGATAAATCCAGAGGTCCAGGCATCTGAGTTTTGCTGCTTGAGGTCCGGAGGAGGAGGAGAATGGGCAGGTGATGATGGTTACTGTCTACCTAACTTATTATCCATCTTTCTCCCACGTGTCCAGGTATATCAGGGCTCGGGTTTTCTTGGGGAAAAGGCGGTAAGGGTTGGTTAGTCATCCTTGGTGTGATGAGTGTGTCTATGTATGTGAGTGTGTCCCCTTCCTCCTCTGCTATGACACCTCACTGCCAAACACCTCCAGCACGAGCGGGGTGAGCTGCATGCTGTGCTCGGGCTGGAAGGAGAGCGAGCGGTACTGCTTGGAGTGCTCCTCGTTCAGACTGCGCAGGTCGGCCAGCTTCTGGATCATCTTGGCGTAGAGGAGGCGTCCGCCTGGGTGGTTGACCCGGATGTAGGCCTGCAGTGTCTCCGACAGATGGTCCTGGAGCTGCTCGATGCGCCTGTGGTCCTGGACACCGGGACGATCTGCCACAGGAGAATGGAGAGGGTGAAGTGGAGGGAAGTCAAAAAAGATAAAGGAGGCAGGCAAGTGGGCGGGCAAGCAGATTCAGGGAGGGGCCCAGGTAGGAAGTAGAGGATAGGTAAGGTAGGGGAATGGAAAGAGAACATCAGTCAATAAAAAGAAAAAGGATTATAATTGTGGTCTATGGACATGTTTACTGATTACACAACATGCACTTTATTATCATATTACAGTATTTAAATATGTGTACTTCCAGTACAAAACATCACACCTACTTTCTACTTAAGATGCACAAGATTTTAGTGCTTTACTCTGCTTTAACCTTTTGAACCAATACAAAAGGCAGTCTTGCTTTCTTCATGCTTTCATTTATTTAAAGAGTTTTGGGGCTTAGACAGCAGTGAAATGACGTTCCTACGACTTACCTAGGTAGAAGGCCATAAAAATAAAATGTGGATATCTCATTAACTCACAACAGTGTTAGATAGTGGAAATAAACAACCTTTGCAAAGTTTGAGATAGCCTGCATCATCTATTCTTGAACAGGCCTTGCCACCCCATGGCCTCATTCATTGATCATGTTCCTTGGCTGTTTTTCACCTTGTCAAGCTCACTAACTGCGACATTGTAACTTCATACTTTAATCTGTTGAACAGGACGTATTCCAGGAGAAGCTTTTTTCAACCGTTACTGGCAGCATCAATAGAGCACTGATGCTTGGGTGAATCGAGGTCAGCGAGCAACACAAACCCTGTGCTTAGCATTTAGTCAATCTGCTAACAATCTCACTCTTAAAAAACAAAAATGGCTCAGCTGGAAATACACCTACACCGCGAACACGCAAACGAACACACAAACACAGGCAGTACCTGGGGAGAGCAGGCAGATGGCCATGAGCAGCACGTGTTCCTCCTCGTGCAGGTTGAGTTTCTTCAGTCCAACCTGGAACTTCACCAGCGGCTCCAGCAGCTCAAGAGTGTGACCCGCTGTGGAGGACGACACAAACATAGCGTCAGGTCTCCAGAGTCATCTTCTCACGCTAAGACAGGACTTGCAAATGCAAACACAATTTATGCAGCAGTGGGCTTCGAGGAAGAGCCATTACTCTCTGTGTGTGTTTGTACACTGCGGACAGAGACCATTACTTCTTGCCCTGCGTGTGTATTTGTGGCCGCTTTATTGCTTCCATGAAAATACCTGAAGTTAAAACCTCATAGTAATGTGAAAGTGTGCGTAGAAAAGCAACGTGTGTGGGTGATCCTTGTAGGACTCTGTTATATAAGGTGGGAGGAAAGAAAATAATCACAGCTGTGTCATCAGCTTCAACATTGAAAACTTCTCTCTCCTTGAGAATGTGTGTACTTGTGTGTTTTATCACTGCACTGCTTGATGTTGTGGCCTTCATGGAAACTGGGGAGGACACGAAGAAATAGAGGAGTGGGTGTATTGAAGAGGATGTGTGATCAATAAGCAAGGTCTCTGACGTGCTCTGTGCGCTCAGTCCTTGTGTACGTCTAAACATGTTGCTGATGTGTTAATGTACTGATTCTGCAGTTCATTTGTTTCACCAACCCTTTGTAACATCATTGATGCAGTATTTAAAGTCGGGTCCTCCGCAGCTCCAGGACATGTCCTCCAGACTGAACGACTGGTTTGAACGCAGCATGATGATCTCAATGGCACTCGACTTCAACAGAGCGATCTGGTCTTCTGCTGTCAGCTCTCTGGAAGGCAGTCACATATACAGTGTGTTACTGTACTGTAACTGTATTAATGCTTATAGTCAGACACTAGCATTGTCACATTAGAGCTTTGTTCACAGATAGGATTTAACATCAGAGTCATGGAAGGGGTCTTTACTTCCGCTTCTTTATTTTGCTTTTCAGATTCATGGACAATAGTCTTTGTCTCTTTGTACCAAATCACCTTCTGAAAAAAAGTTTCCTAGGAACTGCAAAATTATTATTGTTATATTGCACAATACTGTAACAAGAAACTGAAGAACAGAAATACCAATGATATATTGGAGGTAGTTTTGCAACTGTGTAACCATTCCACTGTCTCTCCACCAGAGAGCACTGACAAGTACATGTTCCACTCTATACATATCTTGGTCATCAAAACTAAATACATAACCGAAGGGATTCTAATCAAAAACATTTGTTTATGTCATGCGTTTACGTTAAAAGATGAATATTGGCTGATATGTTGTTAACAGACTATTTCTTTTCTACATAACCACCTACACCATAAGTACAGCACGCACAATGATGAATGTATTATACAGTTACTGTAGCAACAGTGTGTCCAACTCAGGCTTTGTGTGGCCATAAAAGCGCACACACAAGCACAGCACACATTCAGACATTGTGTGTCATCAGCATCCTCAATACTCCATACATTCAAGCCCCCCCAAGTGTAATATTTACTGTTTACACACAACTACAGTCTGTGAATCTCCACACACACAGACAGATACAGGTGTAACTTCAGGAAGAGCAAAAACCTTCACCAACAATATCATGGAAAAAACTCTTCTAATGCACTTAAAATTAACTTGTCACAATTTATACCTTCAATTTATTCGCTTTTTTTCTCAGATTTTGTCAGCTCATTATTTTGTGCTAAACAGAATGTCCTGTCCTGTCCTGCCTTTCATTTTGTTGTGTTTCTTTTAAACAAGTTACAAATGAGTAAGAAGATGCAAACATGGTGTTATTCCGGGGAAGAACTGAATATAGTTTGAATACGGTCTAGACCTGCTCTATTTGAAAAGAAGATAACTTCTGTTATGAATTTGCGCTGTACAAGTAAAACTGAATTGAATCACTGCAGTGTTACAGTATATGAGGCACAGATAGAAAGTAGCTGTAATTTTCAAGTCATAATGTTTGTATTAATCAAATGCAAAGACCTTACTTAAAAAATACATGACAATTACCCGGCAGAAAATGTGTCGGTATTGTCTGAATTTCCAACTCAAATGCTGTTGAAAGAATTTATTTACAAAGAGTGGAACCCAATTTTCAAGAAGTGCTTTTCAAATTAGGACCCAGATATAATTCCGTGAGGCTCAGAGGTCAGAGTTATTCTGGAGATCTGGGATGAGAAACACCTCTAAATCAATGCGTAGACCTGCATGTTGTCATATCTTTGCAGTAGCTTGTAGATAAACCTAAAATCCCAGTCTCTTTTATATCCTCACAGAAAACCCCTTTAACACACAGTTGAGACTCAGCTCCAGCCATTTGAATAATATACCCATGATACACTTCAACAAGACCAACAGTAATGTAGGAAAACATGTATGTAAATATTAAGCTGTCTGCACATCAGTAATAATGGTTCTCATTTCAATTTCTGTTTCACAACATGCAAACACACACGCCTGCATTATGTATATCCATACTGCAGATATGTCTTCCTGATTCTTTTATAATACAGTCTCTGTGTGTGCATACATTTATAAACTTATCTCTCAGCTCAGCGTGTCTTCATAAAGATGCAGTCTGTTCCAGCAAATTCTTGGAAGAGCGTGTTTGTTTGGAAGTGATAACAGCATCTCACTTTACCCATTAATGTCCCTCATACGTGTAGGCAGCAAATCAATGTGCTCTGCATGTGGGTGGGGAGCTCGCTCAGGCTGCTAGCCTTTGGGTCTGTACGTGCTAGTGGTTGGATGCAGCAGAATTTTACCAGTAAATACTTGCACAACTCAGTAAAAACGCAAATGGGAGCAGAGGTAACAGAGTTGAATGTTCATCCCGACAAGAACATGATTTATGGCATGGGAGGATTTGAATGTAAATTGCATATCAATATGAGAGAGCTTCTGAGTCAATGAAAGGTGTTCCCGATTAACTGTAGGTCGAGGTAGGACACTCACAACAGACCATTAAAACAATTCATTTAAATAAAGTTGCAACTACCAGTCACTTTTTAATCGATTCATCTGCACAATGCCCAATTATTTTATTTATAAAAAAAATAGTGAAAAATGTCATGAGTTTGCAGAGCCATCATCAAATAATGTTATTAAAGACAAACAAAAGCAGCAAATCCTCAAATTTTAGAAGCTGGAACCAGCAAATGTTTGGCATTTCGATGAATGACTCAAACGATTAATCTATTATGCAGATTTATTTTTCTGTCTATCCACCTATCGTTTCAGCTTAAAATTAAATTTGATCAAATCTTTCATTTGAGATGCATTAACACTAAAACTGTCTTGATATTGTGATAAGTGATTTATTGCTGTGGTTAAATTAAAATGGAGGTCTAACAATACTGGTGACAAGTAATTTATTCTCAATTCCCCACTGTGACATATTAAATTCTGACCTTGTTAACTCTTTGTTTATCCAAAGAAACTGTACTATGCTGCTGCAGTGTATTGAAAGGCAAACTCAATCACTGTGGTGTGTGTAGTTTGTACCTGAAGCCTGGGATCATCTTGGCGAAGCCTATGACTTTCTGGATGCTGTAGGAGACCAGGTCAGCCAGGTGGGGCAGCATGGAAAGCTTTGTGTCCTCCTCACTGGAGTCTGGACTGCTAGCGCCATCTTGGTACATCATTAACAGGCTGCTGAAGTTCATTTTGGTGTCCACCGACTCTGTTTTAGGAGGGGAGGAAAGAGAGGAGCGGGGAGAGGCAGAATAAAGAAGTGATTACTGTAAAAGGAGGTATTTCAAACACTCTTGCATTTGTATACTCTACTCCTGGGTTCCCTGGGTCCACTAACAATGAAGCTATAGTTTTGAAGCTAAAGTGAGCAATATGAGAAAAATTAAATCTAGATTAAAACAAACTTAGACGAGTACAAATATACACAATAGTTCCCTAATTCAGTACAACCCTAACCCTAAACGCAATATAACAGTGCTGTTTTCTTAGCGTTAAGCTAGCTATGTGTTTACATGGCGACTCAGTTATGCAGGTTTTTAGGAGTACCTCAACAGCATTGCTGTACAGAGGGGGACATGAGGAGAAAGACTCTTTGTGTATCTTACCAGGTGAGTGGTTGAATGAGTCAGAGGAGGCATCAGACAGAGAGTGAAGGGAGGCGGCTCTGCTGGCGCTGCGTGTTACTGGGCCTTCACGCACTGGAGGCTGCGGATACACACAGAGAAACACAAATATTAATATCCTCACTGGAATACTTTGATAGCTCAGCGCACTGCTGGGATCCTCTTCCTCTTGGGGGCCACCTGGAGCTTAGGAATCAAATTCTGTACCAATAGTGACCACACACCAGGAGCCCCACCAATTTGCTGGATAGTTCTCTCTACTTTAGCCCATGTTACACATTTAAAGGGGTTGTTTGTGAAACATGAGTTAAGAAATTACCTTTTTTTCTGTAAGTGCATTGGATTATTCTTATCCTTATACAAAGATTCGAGTAAAAAAAAAAAAGGTATGATTTTTTTCTTAAATAGATTGCTAATAATTTCCAACGTTTGTTTCTTAGTAAGTTCCTTAGTTTTTTTAGACAAACTTGAGTGCAGTCTAGTTTTGGTTTTGTTTTATTTTTAGGATTACTTCATCTGGCCAGGTTCACACTCAGTTCAAAGTGACGCCCACAGCTCAATATCTGGGAAACTGAGTTATTACGTATCTACTACCCAACTGGAGTGTGGTTGTGGCTGTCTGCACACTGTCTGCTAAATCACAGGACACATGGAGAAGTGTTTTGAGACTTTCTCAGACGTTCCATCCAATCTGTATCCCCCCATCTCATTTACTCTGGACGACCCAATTGTTGTGGTCTTCAGAGAGAACGTGGTCTAAAAGTATCAAGTTCATGACGTGGAGGAAGAAAATACGACGCCGCTGTCGGGCAGATAAACGCCTCTGGTGACTTGTGTTACGGGTGTCAGGTAAATTGAAAACACACAGGAGATAGTGGCTGACGTGTTGGTCTGCAGTAAATATGTATGTGGTTACAGACATTATTTACAGCTATCCCAAGATAAGTGATAGACCGATTAATCGGGCCAGTTATCTGGTAATTTGAGATAATCTGCATCGGCCACTCATGAGGCCAATAAACAAAAAATGTCTGTGGACACATCTGCAGATAGCTTTGTCTGTGGCTGCTGTGGGACAATGTGAGTTTTGGGAAAAGTTAGTTTCAAACCCTATTCTGTAACTCTCATGCATCCTGCTGTAATCTAATCTAATACCATTACTGGCTGGCATTAAATATATATTTTGTAGGAACGTGTAGAATAATGCAGTTGAATGATGTTGCTTCTGACATACTGTACCCTGCTCTACCTTAAATACCATGTTCTGAAAAATCAGATTGTAATGTGCATGGAAAAAAATCTTTGTTTTGATATTGGCATCATCATTAATAAATCTGGCTGTCACTACCACCTCGCATTGGTATGTGACACGAGTGATGTTAACAGATTTAAAGACGAAAAAAGATAAATTAGACCAAAGAGCACAGTCAAGCACACAAAAATGCAACCAAAGTTATTGGTTCTGACTAAAGAAACCAAACTGTAGATGACATTATACCCTACATTACACAACTATACCTATGTATTATTTTGCTTGTACTATGGCCACTTGCACTGGTTAATTCACACATAATTAATCCTGAACTCTTTCTGATTCAAAGATCATAAAATATAGATCCTGAGCCACAGGGTCTAAAGGTAGTTTGGATTGCTAGGCAACATCTAGCTAAACAGGAAGGGGTTCACAAGGCTGGGCTCAAAGATTTAAAATCCTAAAGTTTTGGAGAGAAAGATAAATGGACTGGTTGCTCATAAAAAAAAAAATTAAAAAAAAAAAGGAGAATAGCATTACATTCTGCTACATGATATTAAAAGTAGAGACGTTGCATCCCTAGTGTGTCTCTCTCTCTCATGGCGTGTCTGCACACTGTTTCAGCTGCGTTTTTTAGTCGTCTGTCTCACATGTGTCTGTAGGAACAGATCTGCTCCTGTTTCAATCGGTAGTCTACAGTCTACACTTTTTATGCTATACGAGTATAAATTGGAGTAAATAAATGCGGATGTCACTCACTCTTATTTGTGACTTCTGCACATCTCTTTATTCTCTGTGCTGTTTAGGTTAGGTTACATGTCCCCTCCTGTCTTCTCTCCTTTCCTGTGCAGCTGTCCCTCGGAATCAAGTTATTAACTTCACCATGGTTAACATAATTTTAGTTCTCTATTTAAGTCTCCTAAAAACCTGCGGTTAGTTGGTTTGGACGTCCAGATTCACACAAATACCAAACACAAAAATAATGCTAGCTCCAAGATCTTTAGCGAAGCCCCTCTATTTGGGTCTTAGCTTATAGTTTAAAACTGGTGCAATAATTTAAAACTACAAACAAACCCCCCACACCATAGGTGTGCATTTAAACTGTGTGCCAAAAGTTAATATGCACCTTCTAGCCAACCTCAATTCTCATTGGCCACGGTATAAAGTAACTGCTAGAAAAATCAAACATGAAGTGGCAGTCTTTCCTGGTGTTTTAGCTATAATTGTAGCCTACTTCAGCCAATTACAGTCATGGGTACAAACTAAGAGAGAGAATCCCAATGTCTGTAGTGTTGTGGTAAACCAGAGCAGATGCTATCCATATCCTATTATTACATTTTTATTTGTTTGAACATCAGTTCTTCAGCATTTATCCTCCAAGGAATTTAGTTTCTATGGTGGCAGGCTGTTAACTTGAAAGTATACTCTTTCAACTTAGCTGCAATCATAGAAATGCACAGGGTGCGTTTAGTTTCTGTATCAATTTACTTTTTACTGGAGAATGCAGTATTATGGCCTGATGCCGTGCTTCAGGGAGCCTTCCCTTCTGTTGCATGACATCATGACCAGCTCCACCCATCTTCATGGTGGGGAACAAAGTGATTTTGGCTGCACCACTGCCAGTGTGGTTTTGGTAAAGGGTGAAACTTTGTACTGAACTAACCCTGAAGCGGGAGAAGTCAGAATAGGAGGCATCGTAGGTCTTGTGGTGAGCTTCCACCAGGGAGGAGATGATCCTGGCCTGCTCCTCGTTCAGACGTGGCCTCATGGCCTCCCGGGCTGCCTCCTCCTCTTTCCTCTTCATTATCATGTCCTTCTTCCTCTGAACCTCCTCGTCTGTCAGGATGACTACAATAGAGGATAAAGAGGATTGGTAAAATATTTTGCAATACACTGTGAACTTGTGTTTGTGCAGGTGAATGCTTTTGTCAAAGACTGAGCAGCCCAAAAAAAAGAATGAAAAAAAAAAAAAGGCCTTAAAGTGCTCTTATATCATAAATTTAATTCCTCATATTAATGGCTTGCATCCACGTCAATAAAAACATTAAAATCTGTATTTTGGAATTTTGGAATGAGAAATTTGACTTTTTACTACCACAAAGAAAGAATTTAATCAAGAGTTAACTCTATTAACGCCCCAAGTATCACTAGGATTTGTAATTGATCTGGGTTCCTCTCACTGTGTCTAATTTAGTGAAAGTACAAAGTACACACATGGTGTCAGACACTGTAGTGGCAACACACTCTTTTCACTATCAGCATCACAGTAGTGTTACACAAAGGCAACAATTTACAGCAATTAGGAGCGTGTGAAGTGTGTTGTTTGGGCCACAGTAAGGCAAAGGCAGGTGACAAGGTTTTTGAGTGGATAACAATACCGCCCAAAGCTCATAATAAAACATCATTATTGCCCGATAATTATTAGGCACAGATAAATTATGGACTGATAATGGGAAATTTATATTATTATAAATTATCCGGATAATTAAATTACAGCCGATAAATTATAATAATTTCTTTTGAATTCTTGATAGTCTTTATGTTCTATGAAAGCCAAAGTTTTTTTTAGAATTTTTTTTTTTAGTTCTACTAGAAAAATAAATGAACATTGAAGAGTCAGAAAGGTTGTTTGTTGTTAAAAACTACAGGTTTTGAACTACTTCTCTTTAAAATACCAAAATGTGAAATAATTGGTTAGATTATCAGTATCAGCCATGAGAAGCAGGTATCTGTTATCATATTGGCTGGAGAAAAATAAATAAAAAAATCATATTGTGCATCCCTATAAAATATTAACATTGTAGCATCAAATCCCTTAGTCTATTTGTAAAAGAGCGTCTCAGACTGCTTGTTGTCCTCTCCTCAAGGTATTTCTTTTAATTAAACCATGTCCTTCAGTTTGAAGGAAAAAAGGAAAAAAGGAAAGTGAAGCTATGAGCCTCACTGAAAGGAGAGCAGATGTTGTACCTTAACAACACTTGAAGTGATGAACTGAAGACAATTTTTAAAAGCAATTTTATTAAAATATATGTTATATATAAAAGTATTTGTTGACTCACAGCATGTCAGGAGGGATGTTCAAATCCCAGAATATGTTTTGAACTAGCTACGATGACAGGAATAATGAATTCAGTTTTAGGATGGATTGTGGAAGTGCTACTTGTCAGCAGTAAAACAAAGTTAGCTTTCAAAAGGCAAGGGAGCTGTAAGGAAAGCTCCAAACATTTCCATCCCAGGTTACATGAACTATACATCTTCTCAGTTTGGCACGCAGGAAAGGCCTGTCAGGTCTGCTGCCTTCTTATACAGCTGATGCGGCGAGTGTTGGATGTTTAAGTGCCTTTTGCCTTATTCATGCTGCAGGAGCAGAGACTGCAGGCAGAGTGGCACAGTGGTGCAGAATGGATTATACATACTGTTTATAGTTACTCTTTTAGGTTTGACTAGAGGAGGGGTTCTTTTGGGATTTCCTGGGTTTGCGTGCCACTTCCACATGTCTTGGAGCATTACATTACTTTGTAATCTTATATTCACAACACTCATTTATTACAGATCACAACAGATTTACATCTCTCTCTATTGGAATTAAAACACAATCCACTTTGAGACAAAGAACAATTATTTTACATTTATGTTTTTATATTTTTCAATAATTTACCCCTTTGACAATAATAAAATGTCAGAGTTTTATTAAATTAAATAATTTAAAGACAAACAATACTAAAACAATGTCTCCATCTTTAAAGGCATACTGGACGGGCTAACTTCAAACATCAACTGACAAATCCTGTCAGTTGATGTTTGAAGTTAGCCGTCCTCCCCGGTTTGCCGAGAGAGTGAGTGGCAGCAGAGAGGGTTGAGCAACCTACAGTGTGAATGAAAAGGGAGACTTTTGGCAATGTTACAGTACAGGCAAACTGCTGCCTTCACATTAAGATGCCGTTATTGGGAAGAATTCATGCTGAATTAGTGTCAACCCCTCCTGTCGCTTTACACATAGACATTAACAACAGACCAGAATGGAGCAGAACTGAAAAATACTGGCATCCCTGCTGTGAAAATAGGGCGTGAATGACAGAATGACTGACGCCAAGCAGTGATAAGTGGCAATTTAATATGCACTGAAAATTCAGCTATGGTGGGCCTGCCATGAGTGGGTGAATACAGCAGCAGCACCGAGTTAGTCATATTAGCTACAGCACCTCAGTCTATTGGCTTTCTAAAATTTCTATTTTAACTCGTAGTGCAGGCCGAGTCCCTGGAGGAGGTATTTCTATCGCTGGTATCTCAGAGCCCCCCTGAGATCTACCAAACCCTAAACCAGGCAGCCACTGTTAGTCTAACTGCTGCACTTTATACTGTTTGTGGAGAAGCTATTTTCAGCATGCAGGCTGGCATCACACCATTGCGTTCTGTATACTATTTTTATTTAGTTTAGTATGACAATTCTTGCACTACAGTATTTTTCTTCTAAAAAGGACCCCCCTTTCAGCAAAAGAACTGAATGACAAAACATCTGGATGTGTGTTGTTGAGTGGCCACTGATGGTGTGAAACAGGAAATCTGCTTTGCCTTAAGAGACTTTATAAAATGAAAAACAGGCGGCTCAAATGTGTGGATGTGACATCTGTAATGAGGTGGTCTGAAAAGTAATTCTATGTTACATTTCTTGTTAGACTACTTCATAAACACAGCCAGTTTACTACTTCGACTGAAACATCTTTAAGCACTATGTTACTGCCATGGTTTTAATTGAGTTTAAGTAGAGCCCAAGCAAATATCTAACTTCAATATTCTTTAAATAAGTTATTTGTTTCAGAACACAGCCTTCTGGATGCTTTTGCATATTCATATTGGTGCACAATCCACATAGAAAAGGTATACTTTCATTCCAGCTCAAAAATTCATTATATCGGTCGGTCTCTAGTTAAAAGATTATACAAATCCTGAAATAGAAATCCTCCATGTAAAATATGAGCCTGTAAATGGTCGTTATAAAAGTACAAACTGAACGAACCCACCCACATACACGGCCACATATTAAACTTTAAAATGTTCTGTTCAGGTATGCAGTTGTCAGCTGTATGTTTTAGAACATGATGTTTCTGTTGAGCACAGAGAAAGAAGCAGGAAGAGTGTTATGTCATCAGTGTTTGATGCCGCTGCAGACAATAAGAACACATACAATCTTCCCAGCGTGCACAGGAAACTGTACAGTTATATACTCAGAACAAATATTTACCACAGAAGCAAAAGAAGACACAATAGTTGCTAAACCACATTTCATATCTTCATCACCACATCTAGCAAGTTAAATAAAGAAACAGCACAGAATGTCAAAATACTGTTTAATAACAACAGAAAATTAGGTACTTTAGTGGTATTTTAAAATTGGTACTCTCGTCATCAAGATTTGAGACCTGGCTCTGTGGGTCACTGTAGTTACTGCTGGAGTAATGCACTGACCCCTGAATGCCTCAGCCCATATTATCCTTTTGACTCTCAGCCGCAGTGACCGATTACCCATGAAACGCTCAACTGTGCAGACAGACAGACAGACAGCATGACTGCCAGACAGACCGCAACTGCCAAAGAGAGACAGGCCCAGAGTCATGAGGTCACAGCACGCGCAGATACGACGGCAAGTCTGACACTCTGGCAGCTACAGAGGAACTATCTCACTATTCATGCTTTTCTGACATTAAATTTAGCTTCATCAAATGATGCTATTTGCTTAGGGTTGTAGGCATGGCATGTACCGTTTTTAAGAGATAGAGACCTTGTTCATGCAAGCTGAATGCAAAAAAGCTCCTTACACTCTTTTTTTTTTGTCTTATTCTGAAAAAGCTGTAAATCTCTTTAAATAATCTTTTAACTGGTCGAACTGTCTTCATCCGTTAATACAGCAATCATTTACCTGTTACCTATTCCTAAAATTTCAAGTGGCAAACTACAACGTTTGACCTTTACAATGGTAAGCACATATTTGAATCAAAAGGAATAAACACACCAAATAAATACATACTTTGTCAGTAACTGCTAATTTAAGAGACCAATGAGCACTTCATACTAAATACTGGTTGTTTTCCTGGAAGCTGTAAACAACTATATTTGAAGTGGATTTTCAGTGATTGCACCCTGGACTGCAACCACAGAAGCGGCGTTACATAACCGCATTATGTGGCGAGTACGACAACAACAACAACAACAGTTTGGCTACACAGGCTTAAGAAGGCAACTAAATGAATCCGACTGCTTAGCTAACCAAAGGATTTACTTGGCTTTCATCTGTTTTGACCCACCGTCATTAATTAGGCCTTGGCTACGCTCCAAAGTCCATCCAGTCCCAAGCCAGGAGCAGACTGCCCATAACCACTCATGGTGGTGAGGACATCCAAGTATGCAGCCTGAAGCCCAATCATGAATGGGCACAGTTTGGTCAAAGTTTGGCACAGGCTGTCAAAGCAGCTATTCTGAGGACGGGACATGATTGAACCAGTCAGCATCCAGCCAAGTTTGGGCGCTGGATGGCATCATTAAGGCAGAAAAAAAAACAAAAAAAACAACAGACCATCAAAGGAACATCTTGACCACCCCACAGTGCTTGGCAGACGCACAGCAGTTCACCAAAAAGAAGGTTTGCTGTTTGGAAAGCGACGGATTGAATGTGGTGATGTGGTGTCCTGTATGGCAGAGAGGAGCAAAGAAAGAAAGGCAAACAGTAAGGGTTTGGCCAATACCAGTGATGCCAGAGACACTGACAAAGAGGGAAAGGCAGAGTCTCCCTGTTGTGGAGGCCAGAGGTCCACAGCGGGCTTACTCATTAACCAGCCGACCGACCAGTTAAACACAATGGAGGTAGCCAACACTCAGATTTGGTGTGATATATGTCAAGCCGGATTTGGTGTGTAGCCAATACTTTTCACACTGCTGCCCTGGGCCTGTGATGTTCAAGAGGTAAAATCAGGTCAGCCAGGCATCAAGGCACCCACACATGCAGAGTGTGACGCAAATATGGCTTATCAATAGATCAAAATGGAAGTGCACATGGTGGCAGGAAGGCGTACAGTATAAACACATTAGGTTGTACTTATTGTGTCTACTCAGCAATTTTAAAAACACTTCTTTAATTCATGTGGGCTTTAGTCTAACCGCTCACACACCTGTGTTTCTTATCAGTTAACATGTCAGGATCTTGCTTTTATTTGAAATTAATTTGCTGGCTGAGTTGCTGTTAAAAGAACTACTTTGCAAGGAGTACAAAATGTGTCCACATAAAAATGCAGAGAGCCAATTTATAACTGCAACTTTCTTACAAAGATCACATCAAAAGAGGCACACAACATTTGATTCTAAGCCATCAATGCCTAATATTCTGAAACAAGACCAAGCCTTTGTTTTCTGGATGCATACACACCCTCACTTGACATGTTTTTACGCTACCAAACTATAAATTTAGCATCTGGCACTTATGTTAATGCAAGTTAAAAGGTGGCCAAAGAGAAAGAATACTAAAGACTCGGAGGGACGACAAAGAATATGAATTAGGGAGGCAAATAGTGGCCAGCACTGCAGGAGAAGCTCTGCTGCTGAAAGGCACTGAGGGCGGGAATTCATTCATCTAAAAAGGCTGAAACGTTTCAGACACTCTCCTGTGATTCCAATCCTGTTACAAATACACACCGGCGCAAACAGACA